GAACTTCCCTGCACACAGGGATGTGGAAATTGAACCCAGCAACTGTAATTTCCTGCATCTCTATTTTAAGATGCTTGGTTGGAAGTTACTAATTTAAAAAAGCAAATCCCAGTTCATTTAGCCCAGGCTCTGCGCTAACCTGTAGGTAGCTGGGAGCTGTTTAAAGAGAATGAGAGAGAAAAGCAGCAGCTTTTTGGGAAAGGATGGAATGACTTGTTATTGGACAGTCATTAACACTGTGGCTGCTGAACCCCATCTGTATCTTTGAGTACTAGGCTAAGGCCAGGTCTTAAGTACAGCAAATCCTGAGGCTGTGTGACACCCCTGGGCTCATGGGTGGAGATGTTTGGCACACCCTGCCCTCAGGTAGTATCAAGAGATGCCCTCCACCACCACTACTGATGACTGTGTCTCTAAGCAACAGCTTGATATGGAACAGGGGTCCGGATTTTCTTGCTTTGAATCTCCTTACCTACCTTACAGCAGTGTTCTTAAGAGTCCTTAGGCTTTCCTTAACCAGCTAAATGGAAGGACATGCTTAAAACTGTAAAAGCACGTGATGTTTTTTCCCCCCCTGTGTCAGGATGGGGTTAGTTCTATGTATGTACTCAGAAGTAGGCCAGCATGAACCTGCATGAATGGGTGAGGAGGTGGAGGGAGTGCTCCTATGGGACTCCAGAGGGATGTGTTGTATTGTGGTTAGTGAGTACTAATGTGTCTGTAATTAGCCATTGACATGTGCTCTTGTCGCTATGCTAGTACTGCTTTGTTAGAACAGTAGCACTAAATAAGCTATGAATATTAAGTGTCAGTAATTGTACAAAACTAAAGGCTGCTGTGTCAGTAGTAATTAGCAGCTTTGTTTTCATTATGACTTCGACTACGTTGATGCAGTGAGGAAGGGCTGTGCTTGATGGATGGAGGGAGAGATGGCGTTGTAGGACCAGCACTCTCAGCAGCCAAGTGGAGCTTGGTTATTTCACACGAGGGGGAAGAGGGGATGATCCGAGCTGGTTCTGTACAGCATGAAGTGCTGTTCATTTGCAAAGCTCCATAGGACAGCTATTACTGATTCTAGTAGGTTTGTGGTGAGTGATTAGATTGCTGCTTGCTGCTGCTGCTGGCAGACTTTCTAAATTCTTCATTAAGGCCTTTCTGTTGCCTGCAATGACAGTTTCATCCTCTCAAAAACTTGGGGGGAGGTAGGTTTTCCCTAATGACCTGTCTCCTTCCAGCAGATACTGAACTGAATGTTGAGTGAAGCTAGACTTAACAAGTGTGTTTCCATGGAAATCTCTTAGGCTTGGAAGTTGCTGTACCTTAAGGGCTGCAGAGATTGTAAGGTGAATGAATGCACCGGTCTTTTTCTAAGATGCCCTTTGGATAGAATATCTCTGTGTGACTCCCCTTGCAGAGGTAGATGTCTCTGTAGTGCACTTTGTGGCTAGGATGCCAGTATTTTCCTCCCCCCTCCCCTGCCAAACTAATCTTGCTCTCCTCTCTTCCCACAGTGTCTGCCATTACAGCCGCCTCTTCTGGGAGTGGGGGGAAGGTGTCAAAGTGCATGACTCTCAGAAAAGGCAAGATCCAGAGAAGCTATCAAAGGAGGATGTCCTGTCTTTCATCCAAGCACACTATCCCTAAGTCTGCTCCCTTGAGGGATGCAGGGGACGCTGAGCCCAGCTTGGATTCTTCAGGGAGTGACGAGACTGTGGGGAGGCTCCACAATTTGTATCCTGGTCTTTTCCAGAGCTGATTTCCTGGAGAGGATCTAACCAGGGGTGGTATGCAGAAGGCACAGGACGAGGCTCTACCCTGGCAGTGTATATAAGAGTACGGCCCAGGTAGCGCCCGCTGCCGGAGTACCTACAGTGACTCCTGGAGCCAAGGCCTAACGCCCGTTTGTCCTGACCTACTGCATGCATGAGGCCAAGGGGCTGGCAGCTTTTTTTGCTCCCCTTCAAACATTCAGCGAGGTTTGTGGAGCTGTGTGTGTGCCAGAACTCTCCAGGCTTGTGCTTCCCTGGCAGTGTGGGAAGGAGCAGAACTGACGTGGTGGCAGAGCTGGGCAACAGCACATTGAAGCGGCCCTGCGTTGTTCCTGGCAGCTGTCTGTCTCCTCGGCCTTGTCAAAGGCCTACACTACCCCGTGGAGGGTGTTAACTCATTGGGGAATGCTAGCTTTGGGATGCGAGTATGTATTCTTGATGGTGTCTCCAACACTTCTGCTCATCAAGGCACTTGGCTGGCCACTGGCAATTCCTATGTGATGGTATTTTGTTGGACAAAGACCAGTCAGATTTGATGTGCTGAGTGCCAGGGCTTCCTCAGACCTCTAGAGGCTGCTGTGACAAGGACCTCCCTTCTCCAGGTCAGTGACTGATTCTGAGCCAGCAGCCTGCGGTTAATTTGTGAACGTGTCTATGCCTCATGGTACTTCTGAGACCAAGGTGCTTTGATCCTTGGTACTCGACACTGTTGCCCAAATTTTCAGGGAAGAGAGTGAAATTGGGAGGGAAGACACAGGAAGGTTGGGATGCTGGAGGTCTTTGGAGGAAATAATGGAACATCCAACTTTGTTAAAAAGCCCCAGGGCTTCAGTGAAAAGAGATCTTGACTTTGACCATGTTGGTTAGTCAGAAATCCTGTCCCCTGACTATGCCTACTGGAGAGGTTACCAGACCTTCCTTTTAAGTGTCAGAGTGGGATTGAAACTCTCCATGTCTCATTGGCCCTAGAGCTGCATCTGGGGCGAAAGCACAGAGCCATGAAATTCTCAGCATGGTATTTGTGTGTCAACAGACTTCTCCAAGCACTGCGCTGGGCTCAAAGTTGTCTTCTGGTGCATGTTTTACCTTCACTTCTAGCTTCCATAGCACTTTAGCCAGGTCTTCCACATAAATCAGAAGATAACACACAGTTGACAGTTGACTGCTTTTGGCCAAGCAGCAAAATTGCCCTTTTTATTTTGTTCTTGGCTTGTTTTTAAAGAGCTTGGCAGAAGGGAGGAAACTGATTTAGGGGTTGTTGAACTGTGCCTTAAAGAAAGCTATAGTTCTTCTAGAATCTATGGCAGTCATTTAGATTCTTTTTCCTTTTTCTCCACACCCATATGTACGATTTGAACAAGCTTTATGTAGCAAGACGTGAAAATTTTCACTTGTAGGTGCATGGGTGCCCTGCACCCCACCCAAAGAAGCCAGAACAAGGATGGCCTGTTGCAGAAGTCCCACCTCCACCCTCCACTGCCCAGCATTTTGTGTAGGTTTTGTGCTCACTCTTAGCACGCAGTTGAGTGTCATCCTACAAGTAGGCTGTGCTCTCTGAGCTCAGAGCACTTCCATGTCTTCACAAGCAAATTGTCTCCATATCCCCATGTATTAATTCTCTACAGTTCAGTATAAATGAGCTTAGCAGCTGTAACTCCTTGCAAAAAAAAACAAACAAAAACCCCCAAACATATGCAGGCTTGATCACTGCAGAACCACACCCTGGCTAAAGGAGCAGCACAGAAGTTGGCATGGTCTGTTGGTCAATGGAAAGTGGATGAGGCAAAGCTCAGGAGTGGATGAGAGGCTAGCTTTCAAATAGGTAGCCCTGAATATTGTGCAGGGCAGCTACTCTTTCTTCTGAAGTTCTGGCCAGAAGTGAAGTGTGTCAAACCTTCTTTTTCCACATTGGTGATTATTAGTCCCCAGACACGGTTAGGTCTACCATGGCAGCTGAGGGATGGCATGCTGTTAACGCATCCTCTTGCTGACCTGTAGACTCCCTCTGATCTAAAGCATCAGTAAAACATGTATGAAAGAAACCTCCCCCAAGAACAAGAGGCGTGTCACTGGCAGTTTTCTTTTGGCAAAGGCACTTCCACGAGGGGTGAGGAGGAATTTCTCCCAGTGGGGAATAAAGAACCTCCAACTGTGTGGTTTCCAGGCCTGTTCAGTTGGCTTTTTAAACCAACCAGTAATTTTGAGTTCTGGCACTTTGGACCACCTCGAGGCTGTTCCAATGCCAGCAAGGCATGCTGCTCCCTTTGCGATGCTTCTCTGCTAAGTGTTGTGTCCTCCACTCAGGTCTCCTGCAGGCTGGCAGACAGAAGGGTGACTAGGAAGCACACTAGGGTGAGTGTAGGCCTCTGAGGGAACAAAAAACACTGCTTAGCTGCAGGCTAGTTTTTATGAACAGATACTTTCTGTTTACCCAGTTGTCTCCAGCTCCTCCCGATTTTAATTTGCTTTTATTTTTATTTTTGATGCACTGAACCTTGATTCTGAATCCTCCTTCAAGAAGGCAAGCATGAGCCACCATGCTACCTGCTTCCCTGCTGCAGGGGAAGGAGGGAGGGATCATGTTAGGAAGGGGGGTGAGGGAGGCCTTGCTGAAGGGAATGTTTCTGTACATGAATTGCACAATGTATTGATATTAGGCTGTGTATCATTTTGTGTTGACTTCTTTGCTTTCATTGTCTTTATTACCAATACAGCCCCTTTAGTTCACAGCCGTGCTTGTGTACTTTGCTTCCCACAAAATTCTGCCCAGCAGTGTGTCAGTGTGGTGACAGAGAAATGCTTTGTACAAATTAAATTTTCAAGGCAGTCCCATTTTAAAGGCTTTCCTGGCAAGTTGGAGCACACTCAGGATCACAAAATTGTAGGGACTGGAAGGGACTAGTCCAGCACCCCTGCCAAAGCAGGTTCACCTAGAACAGGGCTAGCTCTGGTGTGTGTCACTGGATCAGAATGAGGGGACTACAGAGGACAGTCTCCAGTGCTCCTCTGTGGCATGCTAGACGGATTTTCCACTCTAAGCAAATGCTTATGTAGGTTCCAGGTGACAACAGACCAATAACCCACTGTTGAGACTGCACTGACCAGGGATATTAAGTGCCTAACCCAGTCTAGGATTATTGTGGTGCAGTGTGTGCCAGCAGGGAGAGGGTAGGATGAGAAAGCAGTGGCTGAGAGGTATGTTACAGAACAGGAAAGAAAGAAAAACAGAAGTTACAAGGTCAAATTATTTTATTTAAAGCCCTGCAGGGGCACATTCATCCCTGGGAGTTAACAGTAAATTCTCTTCTGCAAGTGTTGATTTTCAGAGGCACACAATGTCTACCAAGCTCTGACGCACTGGAGACTTTCTCAAAGCTCAAGCCCCCAGATCTCAAGTTGGAGAAAAAGAGATAACCTGTTTGGTGGAGGGTGTAGGATTCCTTTGGTCCTGTAATTTAGTTTGGAGGAGAAAACATCTGTTTAGTCAGCTCTGGTGACAGGTGGAGTCTTTAAAACTTGGTGTCCCTTCAGCTTATGGCTGAGTCACAGGAACCAAGAAGGTGGGATGTATTCTGACCAGGCTGAGCAGAGAGCACTCGTCTGCAACCACAGAGGTCCTCTTCAAAAGGGAGAAGGTATCACCTTCCTACTTCAGGCTGGATGGTCTTGACTGCGTTTTGGGTAAGACAGCACCACCTTGAGCTCTGCTTGACCTGATTCCAGCTGCAAGCGTGCTGTGATTTCTGGGTTGTCTCCTGTCCCCCTCAGTTCTCAGAGAAAAAGCTTCCCTACAACGAGGCTTGGAGAGGATAAACAGGAACAGCTATTTGAAATGCTGATCCTCACCCTTGGGGGAGGCAGAGTGGTGAGACGAGGAAGAGCTCCTTGCAGGAGGGTCCTTTGGTCAGCAGGGAGAATGCTTGAGTGCAATCACATTGTCCAGCAGGCGTAAATAAGAGCAATCAGTAACCCCATGGCCACAGCGAGGGCAGCATTCTTGCGATTTTCTTTACGAAGCGCACTCAGTTCTTTCTCTGGGAAACAAACAAAAGCCTCGCTTGTGAATGTTCTTCATATTGCAGCTACATCTTTCAAAACAGTCTTAAAAGCACAATACTACCTTGGCTACGGGCAGCTCTTTTGGGATCAGTATGCAAAGCTGCTAATAATAAGATGCTCGGAACAGGAAATAACTAGCAGGAACCCTTTCATTTGCAAACTCTCATTCTGTCAATCCATCTCAGTAGCTGTGCTTGGGAATACTTCAGTGCCAGACCCGCTCCTGTTTGCAAATGACCTTGCTCTGGGACCCTACCAAGGACAAATGGGTCATTAGGGTAACTGCTAGTACCCTAAGAAAATGAAGAAGACAGAGGGGTAGAGAGCTATTTTTACTGTCTTCTAGACATAACAGCTCAGCACCTTTTCCTAGTGCTTAAATTTACTTAAATACAACGGTGGCCACCTTTGAATGTTGCAGAATCTGGGTTTCCTTGTGCCCCAGAAGGATGAGTGTGGAATAAGTGTAAGCATGGACACCCATTCTGTTGGGGTCTGCAGCTTTTTTGATAGGTCATTTTCCCTGGCCTACGAAAAAAGAAACACAGATACAGCGAGAGAAACAAAGTGGCTACCAAAATTATGGAGTCCTTCTGGTCTCCAGTTCTGTTCGGTTCCCTTTACCAAAGATAAGAACCCAACTCTTGCTCACTCTGTCCCACAAGACTTGGCATGACAGCATAGGCAGGAAGTGAGGCCTACAGCACTACACGGCCAAACAGCAGTGATTATTTTGCAGGGCAAGGCTGGGTGCAGACTGTCCCCAGAGGCAGACTGCTCTTGCTGTACTAGTAGCTGCCTCTACAGTTTGCACTAGCTGCCTCTACAGTTTGCACTAGCAGCCTCCAGAGGGGATGCCCTGGTGCTGCAGGTTCCCAAACTGGTGCTGGTATCAAAAGAGGCTTTTAGCTCTTCTTTCTGCCCCTGTTCTTCCATGGGGTACAGGCATTCTCATGCAGCCAAGCCGCTTGAATCTGCAAGGTTACAGAGGAGGAGGTAGGGGCCGGAGGCCACATAACCCCAAGCACAGCAATGCCAGCTTAAACTGATGGAGCAATGCCACTGGCACTGCAGTTCATGGCCTCAAGTGTGTCAGCTGGAATAAGCAGAGATTTAATCAGAGGCCATAGCGGTGATCTAAGAAAGCTGTGTGCACTGTCTCTTCTGTTCCAGCAGGAGCAGCTGTCACCATTAGGTGAGGCTGTTGCTGCTGTCTGAGCAGCCTGTCAGGCTGCTCTGTTGATGCCAGCAGTGATGGCTGACTGCTGGTAAAAGGGTGGCAACGTGCATTCTTCTGCCCTGCCGTTCTCTGGTGGTAGGCCCTTAGGGAACAGCTTTGAATCTGTTTAAAATAACTGTTAGTCTTCTGGAAAAAGTCCTTTAACATAAGGTAAAATTTTAAATTTGCTGGCCATACCTCAGCTTTCAACTCCCCAGGCCTAGAAGAACACTTCTGCTGCTTCCCCTTGTGTGAGCTCTGATGCTTACACTGCTGCAGAGTGCTGTCAAACAGTTAACATACTGACCAACACCAGGAGCCTGAAGACATGCAAGGCAGCATCCCCAGCGGAACAGCAGTGCCGTGGTAGCTCAGAAGGACTCTCATTTCAACTGTCTACAGCAGGACCTGCAGCAAGGAGAGACCCTGTCTGTCTGGAACCAGAGGTAGCACATCAGTGTGAATCTCTGTGCTCGTGTTCTGAACAGCCCCGGACAGTGATGCAGTGAGAGCCTTCCCAAGGAAGGTATAGTTTGCTACACCCCAGGCAGCACTTGCCAGCTTGCTTATCAAACCTCTAATAAAAATGAAAAGAAGAAAAAAAAGGGAGGAGGGGGATGTTAAAAGGCCACTCAAGTCAATCTGATGGCTAAGATTTTGTAAAGACTGGTAATATGGGGTATGTGAAAGGGAAATCTTTCCCCCCTCATTAGCTGATGCTTATTTTTTTTTTGCTACGATAGCACAGCTCAAGCATGAGGATCAAGACTCCTATTATAATATGCTGACTAGATTTCCCTCAGTCTTGCTCCCTTTGGTGGAACCTAAATTCAAAGGCAGAAGTCAGAGGTGGCAGGAGCTTGAAGACGAAGCTAAGCTGCAGCACTGATCCCATCCAGCCCAGAGGGACCATTTTTAATGAAGCTCTTACCATAGTTGTCAGCTTTGGTCATTAGTAAGTTTCTCTCTCTCTCCAGTGACTTTCTGTAATGAGAAGAGGAGCTCATTACCTGTGAGGCACAACACAGTCTATTTCTTTGCTTGTATGATAGAAGAGAGACTGTCCCACTGCCGAGGATATCTGCTCTCAGAATGAGTCCCTCACCCTTCACTGTGGAAAGGTGACAGCTTAGAAACCCCCAGCTGTGCAAAAGAAGAGATGCAGCAGTTTTAGATTACTTTTTCTTCCCCCAAATGGCTTCATGTCTCTCCTTTCAGGACAGTGTCAGTGTGTGCAAGCAGGGTAGAAAGGGGTCTGTGTGTCAGAGAAGCCTCTGCTCTGTTCCTCAGGTGGAGTAGGAAGTTCTGCTACAGGTATGGGACTGGGCAGGGTCCCTACACACTGCAGGATTCTGTGCCCCTCCAGCAGATGTGGCTCAGTGCTGGAACACTAATTCTTCTCACCAACTGAAGCTGGGATCCCTTTGTCAGAGGTATACAATATACACAAATTGGTCAACTCGCAGAAACAAGCTGAATCCAAACCCAGTAGCAACCAGTTAAACAATCTGTTATTAGACCAAAGACTCAGGATAATAACAATAAAGTAAGTGAGGCCAACCCATCCCTTGTCTTAAACTGCACAGGATGATTAATTAAACACAGTTTAAAATATAAATGCAAAACAAACTGCCTGAAAGCAGCAGCATTTCCATTACAGCAGCGAGGATGCGGTCACTCCTTCCAGACTGTGTGCATATAAATAAACATGCACTAACAAATTATCTCCCAGTTCAGATTAGACTGAGCAGGCAGTAAGTGTAACAGAGTTTGTTGTTCCCCTTGGGGCAGAGCAAGAACCTGTAGGAGGAAAGAGATCCAAATCTATGTGTACAGCTAGTTAAGTAAGGGATGGCAAGAAAGCAAGGCACGTCAGAGCAGCGGGAGAGGAAAGGGCTCTCAAAGGCAACTGGGGAAAGACAATGTGGAGCGCAGCCAGGAGGGAGCGAGAAGACAGATTTACCAACATGACTGAGCTGCTACTTTGAAACTTGCCTCGTGAAGAGTCAAGGGAGGAGGCTTTGAGAATGAGACATGAAGAAACCATGACAACTGAACTTCAAAATGGGAAAGCAGAGCTCTCCTTTGTGTACAACTCAATGAATCAGTAATTTTGATCATGGTACCTTCCTCCAGGGTTTTTTTTTAATGGTCTGGATTAGGGCAACAGAATTTCTGTTTCCATCTCCATACACGTTGTAAAATTCAGAAAAAGCCCCAGGAATCCTTATTCCTAACTCTTTGCTCTAGGCCCTATATTTCAGAGAGAAATCATACAGATATATTCTCTCTTGTCAAGCTACCACAACTGTAGGTTTGGTTGTTGACCACCTAAGTACCAGATAAAGAACACAGTAAACATAAGAAGAATTTAGGCCTAGAAAAGGACTGTTGAGATAAGGAACTAGAGAGATGAAGGACGGGAGGAGACAGGACCCTGTCCATATATGGTTGGGAATATAAACCCCCAGTAAAGCTGGCGAGGAAGAGAATGGAAAGGAGGAACGAAGAAGTTAAGCTGAGGCTGTTAAGAATCAGGGTGTGGAGATGTCACCACTGCTAGGATCATTTCTAACTGCGTTCTGTAGGACAATACTGTAGAGCAGACACTGGGACCAACAGGACTGCTCCCTGGGCCTACAACTGAGCTTCCCAGCCTTTTTTGCTAGAGCAGAGCAGTGGGATATTGGTGACTGGAAGAATGTCCTCAAGCAGAGAGATTTGAGAATCAGCTGGTTGGTCTAGGATCTCTTGCTTCACACTCCAGACAAAAAATCAGGTTCTGCCTGCATCTGCTACAAAATAGTCAAGTCAAAGTCCTTGCTTGAGTCCCAGCTCTAGAAGACTACAGTTGCCTCTTCTATGTCAGTGACAGATTTCAGGGGAATTGTCCCTCTTCCCTTTCCCAAGAAAAGCCAGTGTGTCACTGCATCCCTACATCCAGACACATTTGCAACACAGGCACAGCAAATAACTTCCCTCAGCCCTTTTCCAGTTCCATCCCAGCCTGGATTAGCCCTCAGTAGTAGCTGCGGCACATCTCCCCTGACCGAACCTGGGGAGCTTTGGCAAGGCTTGAGTAGCAGCATGCAGTGAACCTTTGCCAGACTCACAGAGCTGTTTCTAGCAGACCAGGAGCCAGCTCTGCAAATAAACTGGCAAATTTCAGGCACTGCTTGGCTGGTTGTGGTGCAGACTGGAGAGAGGCCGTTGATAAGATAAAGCTCTCTCCATATATCACTGAACTTTGCACCCTGGCAAGCTCCCCAAGCAAGTTCCAAGCTGGGGGAAGAGAGTCTTGTCATGGGGCACAACGCATTCTCATCCCTTTCAAGAGCTGTTGCTCAGTCCTACAGCAGGGTGACAGCTAGCTGAAGCGCACAGCCACAGCTGCGAAAGGTGGTGTCAACAATACCTTCCTTCAGGGCTGAGCTTCTCCCTGCGCAGTTTAAGATCCATCTCCTCCATGCTCTGTCTGCAACGTGCCAGCTTCTCCTCCAGTCCATCAATCTGAAAAACACATCAGTCATTTCCTCTCCCAGCTAATATGGATCCATCCCCACTCAGATGGGAAGGGTGGCAGCTCAGCCACTCCACCCCCTTCCTTCCCAAATCAAGGGATGAACAGCTCCAGCTCTATGCAGACAGTACAGAGCCCATCACTTCCCAGATCAGCACGTGTGATACCCCAGTGTGTAATCCCAGACACAGCCAAGCCAGCCCTAACACCCCCATTCCCGTAGATGGCCAGCACCTTTTTGCTAAGATCTGATGCTGTTCCAGCCTGTTCTAGTTTCTTTGCATGTGGCTCCACAAGCAAAGATGTGATCTAAGTCATCTTTATGCAATTGAAAGAGGATAAAATGAGAGTGCCTGGCCTTGGCCAAAGCCTGAGGGACAAGGTCTGGATTTAGTGCTATGAATGGACGTGACTACAAAGCACCCTCAGCTGTCTGCTTGGGTGAAGAGGGGACAAAGGGGAGACACTGATATCTACCATCTCATTCACCTGCTAAATCTACAACAGCAGTCTGCACGGTACGCTCAAAAGAGCATTCTCCACCACTTCCACACCTTCGACCTGCACCAAGTTTTGGAAACAATATGTTAATGTGCAGAAAAACACTGGTCATCTCTTTGTGCCTCTTCATCAGGTCCCCTAACAGCCTGTTCCCTGCTGTGTCTTCCTGTGGAGGATAGTAGCTGTGGATGAGTAAAAGAGGACTGATCGACTTGCGTGCAAATAGATTGCACAGGAGGGAATCCTACCACAGACAACAGTTCTGGGAATCATTCCTCTTTTCTGCCTGGCAACCTGAGTGTAGACAATCTTTAGGAGAAGTCTGTCTTTCAGGCTTGCTTCCAGCAGGGCAACAGTGGGACTAATCAGATAATATGAACAAAACATCCTAGCCTGAAAGGAAGCGGCCTTGGTGCCCTGAGGTGGCAATGACTTCTCTTTTTACCTACTCGGTGCAACATTCCTGCTGTGTCTGGTTCTCCCAAGCAAGGCCAAGGCCAGTTAGATGGCTGGCAGCAGGCCCCTCTCTGGTGGGAGCTTTCACAAATGAGAAGCCATGAGGCAGCACAGTCCTGAATAAAGTACTGAGGTGGAACGAGACAACAGCTGCCTGGACATCAGCCCCAGAGGTGGCCCAGAGCACAAACACTGCCATAAACAGTGACATGGGAAACAAAATAAAAGGCAGTGATCCCTAATTATTGCTACTTTGGGGATCAGCTCTGTCCTGAGCTCGTGAGCAATCTCACACCTGCTCAGGAAAGGCAGGCCAGCGTTATAAATAAGCAGGATGGGAGAAGAAGCTTGACGTAAAGGGGAGAACAAAGCAGACTGCGAAAAGGAGCTCAGCCAGTCAGGGGAACAGTCTCACTGCAAGGAGCACAGCAGCCCTGGGGAGGGGGCCACCTACTACAAGGCTCAAGTAAATCTTTGCGTCTTACCAGACAACAATTTCCAAGTCCCTTGCTATTAGGCAACTCTGCCAGGGCTGTTGAGATGGCAAGCTTCCCAGAAGCCCCTGCACAGCTTCCTCTAAGCCCAAGGGGAGCACCAAGGCACATGACCTGATCCCAGAGCACAGAGAATGGCACTTCTGCGTTTGGCAATGCTTGGGTTTGCCCGGATGGGGACACAGGTATTTTTGAAGCATGTTAGCTGAAAATGCGTTTGATCAGGGCAAAGGTAATTGTCCTCCTCCATATCCAGCTGTGCCAGTTAGGAATGTTAACTCCAGGTGCCCATCACTACCTGTGATCCACTACATCAGAGTCAGTGAGATGCACTGCCCCGCTCTGCTTCAAGGCCAGCTAAGGGCTTCACCCACGTCAGCTCCGGCCATGTTTATCAGCAAGTTAATTTGAGTGCAGTGGAGTAGAGGTGAGGTGTCCATCCAGTCCAATTTAAAAATTACTACCTCCCTCACCAATTCATACCATTTGCAAATGACAGTGTTTCTGCTCCCTCATCTGTTGGAAACCCCCACATACATACACACACAGCAGGAGGTACTTCAGCATGTGTTACCTGGCTCCTCCTTAGCCAGTAAACTTAATACAATACACCATGCCTTCTCTGGAAATATGTTTAAAAATCATGTTAAATAATACAATTTAATGACAACTTTTGTTAGTCAGCTGCCAACCCACCACTAAATTATCTATATCATTGCACTTCCTGTCCTCTCCAGAACTGCTCCTCCTGCTCAGTGTGCAGTTGTTCTCACTAGTAGATTCCCTGCCCATATTACCATCATTTCATGAGGTGTAACAAGAGGATAGTCCGCCCAACCCTGCCAATGCTTGTACTTTCTGCTGACTAAAAATCTCCAGATTCCACATAATACTTTATTTCAACCGGTTTTACTGCTCTTAAATCAAGACCAAAGTTTGGGTCCCCTGTTGGAGAGCAATAATTTGCTAATAAACCACATGCCCTAGAAGTGCACCATCAGCTTTGCTGAGCTGGGGGCACAAGGGACAGAAAATAATAATAGAAAAAAAAAAAAGGCAAGGAAGGAGGAACAGATTGCTGAATAAACAAAATATTTTTTGTCCAGAATCTCACTATTTCTTCTCTTCAGCCTAGTCTGACGCATTAGGGGCTATAAGGAAGGATAAGAGTGAGGATTCCCAGATGTTATCCATTTACTGTGCCTCACCTTCCCTACTTATAAATTAGGACAATACTATCTGCCTCCTGGAGGTGGCTCATTTATAGAAGGATCCTCAGAGACCAACACAAACTATGGGCAGAGCACTATCTTGATGTCAGTGCTATTGTCTCACTTGGGATTTGGGATGTGTTCCTGCAAGCTAGGAGTCTCTCAGCAGCTCTGCCACCCAAGTAACTCTTCACTGCAGGGCAAAGGAAAGAGAGAAACAGAAAATAAGCAGAGCGAGAAATCAGAGTAATGCCTGGGAATTACTGATTACTCTCTGGGCTGCTTAGGAAACTCCCAGGGGGGCCGTAGCCTGTAAAGCTGTAGCACAAGAAAACCTGTAGAGCTTTGGCATAATTCCCTGCAGCAGCTCTCCAGGAGAGCAACCCTCAAAGCAGGTCCACACCTGAGCTTGTGGTGGATGGAAAGCTTTCCCTCCCACTAACTAATTAGATTAGGTGAGAAGGTTAGTTAGGGTATGTACATAGGCCGACTAGAAGCCCGCATGAAAACGAAGAGCCAAGCTTGTTTAGCTGAACCATCAGTGCCACTGAAAAGATAAGGCAGCGTGAAGTACAATCTCAGCACAGTGGCACGTAAGTTGTGAAGACAAACCCTTGCTCTTTCTGGCTCTCCTTTCCATGAAGAGGATCCTCTGGAACAGAGGTGAAGTTCTGACATGACAATTCCTCAGGTTCACGTGGCTTGTAGCAGGGACACAGGACTTCACTCACAGCAACATTTTAAAGTACTGGCAGTTAAAAGGGGCAAGTGAAGCAGGTGCTTCGCATCCAGGCAGCAGCTCAGGGCACACACACCTGCCCTTCTGCTCCTCAAGAGCCACTCCAGAAAATCAACTCCCAGCAGCTTTGGACACATATAGGGATCTGAGACCAGATGCCTCCCTTGCTCCACAAGGTATGAAAAGGCATTGAGCCATTTTTGTTGAATTCTGGCAACACTTGCTCGCAATCTGGAGACCTTTTTAAACCAGAGAGACCTGGAGCGCATTTCAATCCAAACTGACTTACATGCTTATTACAAATCTCATTTGTTGGGACCATCTTGGGCAGGGAGCCCGAAATGGCTCACATAAAGGCAGAGACAAAGAGAAAAGGAAGCAGCTTTGCTTACAGAGTTGAGCTAGATCCCTTTTAATACATTTTGTAATGAATTAATAAAAGCTTTCTTTCCAGCAGAAAGGCTAAAAGCGCTTTTCAAGAACTGGCATCCACCCTCCGCTTTTATGAATTCCCTAATTAAGATACTGGCAAAGAGCCATATCACACATACTTCGACATCCAACAGCGTTAGGTAATGAGGTTTTCGTCTTCTGACCCTCATAAAACAGATCAAAGCCAACTGAAGAGGTGGGGGCAAAGAGAAAAAATCCTTCCCTGAGCAGTCTTCTCATGCTTTGTCACCTGCCAGCACACTTGAGCAGTTCTTTTCATAGACGAATTAGTGGTTCCTGCATCCACAAATTTGGCTGGATTATTAAGATCAGTCCAGCAGAGATGAGTTTTGTTTAAATTCAAATGCTAACTTGCAGTTCACGGACACAGTTCCATTTTCACCATGCTCTTGGAATCATTTTTGCATGCTGGCAAATCATTTTACAGATGCTGTGCCTGCAGCGTGCTTGGAAACATTTACCAGGCAAGCTACTATGCAATAGAGGATGATCCACCAGCAAAGTCCAAGATAAATCCTACAGATCAACCCTCTGTGTCAGTAAAGGATAAAGGGCTGGATCCTACCCGCATCTCCTCCTTCAGCCTCGCAGAGACTACTCAGTTAGTCTTCCTGCCCTGCCTCAGCTCAGACCAGTGGCTTTGCAGAACAGCACACAGACATGACCACACGGCAGCACCCACAGCTTTCTGAAAACAGCTTTACTGAGTAAAGACTACATTGGCCTTTTCTCTCTTCTTTATGCTCTTGCATAGACACTGATCAGCCACTGCCTTGTCAGAAGCAGCAATACACGTTACAGTACTTTCTCCAAACACGCACTCGACATTGTGCAGCTCAGGCATTGCCTAAGCACAGGGCGTTTCTCTTTGTATTTAATAGCCCCACTTTTTTTTTCTTTCATTAATTCCTTTTCCAGTTGTTGTCTGAGCCACAAATATATTAAGGGCTACAACATCCTGGAGCAGGGAGTTTCACAGCACAGCCACAGATTATAGTAAGAACCAACCCCTCCTGTTTGTTCTGAGCTTGTCAGCTGGTGGTTTTATTTGATAGCCCTAGTTTTGAATTGACAGGTAATGTTCATTCTTTGTTTAAAACTACAAATAGCACACAGAAGATATAGACCTATACCAGGTCCCCTTGCAGTCATGTTTTCAAGCTTAAAAGCACCTGGTATGCTTAGCTTTCTTGCAGAGAAGTTTTCCACACCTTTGATAATCTTTGTCACTCTCTTAAGATCATTCCATTCTCACTGTTTTCCTACAAAATGGACCGGTCTTCCCAGTTTCATTTTGCTGATGAGTTTCATCAAGAAAGTTCTGTGCAACTCAGCACTGTCAATGGGGCTGGCTGCCTGTCAAAAGACTACGGAGTTATATGAAAGGAGAAGTGGCATGAGTTTAAACCACCACCACATTATGGAGACACATTTATATCAGTTTAAACCAGGTCATATCAATTACACCTGCAATTTGTAAGTGCAAGCTAATCTGATAAGTGTCCATATAGAAAATTGCATTCATTTAGCATCATGACTTCAGTTAAACAAGCATGACTCTGCCTAGATTAGGCCTTTCAAAGCTAGCCATGCATCATGTCATATTAAGATTCATTTGGAAAGTTTTCTTTACAATCATAACAGCTCAGAAGGTAATACTGAACTGAATGAAAGTTTAAATTATGAAATCAATATCTTGGTTGTCACGCATTTCTGACACTGAAAACGTAGGCCTCTCTACCTCTGGCTTAAAGGGATTTTGTTTTCTTTCTCCCTAGCTTCTATTCAGTATGCTTCTCATCACTGCAAGGGGAAGAATTTTGTTTGTAAGTAGTATCTTTGCAGTGAGAGGTTAAGTTTTCATTTATAAAGCTGAGGAAGAATAGTTCTACAATCCTTTCAAAAGTACTGCATTCTATCATGACAACTTCTGGGGAAAAAAAAAACAAAACAAAAACACAAACCAAAAACCTAAAGATACCACAAGTGCCCAAACACTTTGCAAGAATTTGCTGTGGCAGCTAAAATCAGTCCCTTTTTATTCTGTGACCAGGAAGTCCCTGAAAGGCTCACCCTTTTTACCATCTCTCTTTTTGTAAGGTGGACCCTACAATCTCAACTCTCCTTGTCTGTCACATCTTAAACAACAACCACCAAAAATTCATTACTTCAACTTTCTTTCCCCGCTAGGCTCACTGAAAAGAAGCTTGTCAGCATACTCCCCTCTGGACTCCCTTTGGAGTGGTTATATTTGGGTTAGAGTGCCCAGAAATGTCTATTTCTCTAATGAAAGCCTAACAAGATGAAATAGACCAGAAAACTACTAGAAACTGAAGTCCCATTCATATGACACAGCAGGACACTCACCTTTACACTACTGGCTAATGAAGCATATATGACAAGCCCCAAGTTCTTTCCCTGGCCTTTCTACCCTGGCTATCTTGGTCTGCTGTACACATGCTCATCTAAAAGACTTCAGGACAAATAGGTGACCAGTGAGATTCAGTGGATCAACTCTGCCCTGTTTCAGCCATCTGTCAGGAAGGTTCAGGTTTTGCTGTCCCCAAGGAACCTACAACCCACAGACTTGGACTATAATCTCTCCACGGCCTCCTCCGAATCAGTCCAGACAGCACTGTTCAGCGCAGGAGCCAGAATTGAGTATGCTTCAGAGGGACCTTAACTAACATGATTCAGACTGTTAATGCAAATATAAAGCTTAAACAAAGCTTACCAGCAGGCCTCCTACCACTCAGGAGATTATGAAACACCCAAGCACAACAATAAAAAAGGCAGCTTTAGAAGGCAGGCATACTCCTAAAACCCAGTCTTTTCCCCTTCTCCTTGCTGTGTTTTACAGGCACTTCACGTGCTTGTTTACTGCTGGGTTCCTCAAAAGCAGCAGCCTGTGCCCAGCACGCTGCTGACTTCCACCACCGCACACGCTGCCAGGCTGTGCACAGATTTGCTAGCGAGGGGCAGGAGCTTGCCACAGCAGCCTCCATGGGCGCAGGCAGTTACTGCCTCTCACTGCCTCTCCCCGCACTGGCTCAAAGAGCACCAAACGCCATTGCCCAGCGCAAGGCGTGGGACAAAGGCCGGGCACCGAGCTTCCCAGCGCGGGCCGATGCCACCTCAGCCTCCTCCGCCACCCTCGCACGTCAAGATGGCGGCCAGGGCCTAGCATTAGTGCAACGCGGCCTAGTCAGAGCGGTGTTTCTGAACCCCCCGCTGCCCCCTCCCCAACACCCACCACTCTCTTGTGAAATGCCTCGCCTCACCCCAGACAAGCCCAACCCGGCCGTGCCCCCTCACCTCCCGAGCCACGCTCAGCCCCTCTCGCCTCCTGCCCATGGTCCCCGGCCCGTCGGCAGCCGCGCATGCGCAGTCGGCCGCTCCGCGCCACGGTCCGAGTGCGGCCACGTCCGCGCGGCCAGTCAGAGCGGTGTTTCTGAACCCCCCGCTGTCCCCTCCCCAACACCCACCACTCTCTTGTGAAATGCCTCGCCTCACCCCAGACAAGCCCAACCCGGCCGTGCCCCCTCACCTCCCGAGCCACGCTCAGCCCCTCTCGCCTCCTGCCCATGGTCCCCGGCCCGTCGGCAGCCGCGCATGCGCAGTCGGCCGCTCCGCGCCACGGTCCGAGTGCGGCCACGTCCGCGCGGCCGCCGCCATCTTGGTGAGGGGTTGCGCCGTGGGGCGGCCGCCATCTTGGTGAGGGGTTGCGCCGTGGGGCGGCCGCCATCTTGGTGAGGGCGCTTCTGCCCGGCGGCCTTCGGGAGTGGTGGGGACGGCGGCGGCTCTGGCCACGTGAGTCCGTTTTGGCGTAGCTTGAAGACAGCCGAGGCCGTACGGCAGCGTGGCGCATGGCCCTCAGGGCGGCAACCCAGCTGCTTTGTGAAGGCGCTGCCTGCAGTCAGCTCTGTCTGATCCAGTGGTGGCGGATGAGGGACAGCTGGGGAACGACCATGAGGCTCAAAAGCCGCAGTGGGACCCCTTGGACCTGCTTCTCCACCCCTGAGACCCCTGCTCCCTCGGGGGGAACTATTGGCAGGGGTTTCCAGTGTGCTGTCTGGCCAGGCATGTCCTCTGGGCCTGGCAGAGTGCAAGGTTGGGCTGATCAGTTGGTTTTCCCTCAAGGAGAGCCAGCTCCATCCAGTTTCAAGCTTCTGTGCTGCTCAGGCCGCTCCAGCCCTGGTCTTGCATTGCTGGGGGCTGGGGCTCACCTAGGAAGAAATCAGTCTCTCAGAAAAGCAAGGCACCAACGTGAGCACCGTTTTGCTCTGAGTTAGAATCACTGAGAACTTCAGCTTGTCCTTGCTCCTTCCTTCTCAAACACCAGCTTTATGCTAAAGCAGCTGGAGGAAAAACTAGCTGCTTGATCTACCAGAAGGCAGTGCTTTGTGCACGCTAGCCAGTTCATTGCAAGATGCTAATCAGAACATTACATATGCATGCAGCTTTTGTCCTGACCCAAGAAAGCTTTTTGTGAAACACTGCTATCTTGTATTAAAAAAAAAAAAAAGAAGAAGAAGAAAGAAACACCACTGAAATGCATCTGTCTTCAGGGTAGGACATGACTGCTACATGACAGAGAACGGAAGAGCTATTTGCTGACCAAAAAATGGAAGGCTGAGCAGCAGCAGCATTTATTAGAAACACAGACTGAATTTTCATTTTAGCTTAAATACACTCTGCTGCCTGATTTTGCTAGGATGGCAGGAGTGCAGATGCCGGTCATAGGAGTGATAATACTGACACCTAATTTGTGTGCTTCACTTTTCTTTCAAAAAAAAAACTCAAACACCACTACATTTTTACTACAGGATGTGGCCGATGTTGGTAACAGCATCAGTCTCATTTTTGCTCTGGAGAAAATGAGGGATAGCTCATTTTCATGAGGGATAGCTCATACTTTTCTCTGCTTCCCAACCTGGTACTTGACTCTACGTTATGGAGCCTACACTGCTGAACCCAAAGGAGCCAGAACTCCTGCCTCCAAGGCAAGACACAGATAACTGTTTTCCAAGCAGAAGCAGCTCAGTCAGAAGGCAGTAAAGAAACTGACTAGGAGCAGCCCTAGAAACTGAGCAGCCCCCAGAAACTGAGTACCCGGCAGCCCTAAGAAAGCACAGCACCTGGGAGGGGGGGGAAAGGTGTAGAAAATGAAGAAGTGGGAGAATGTTATTTTTTTTTCTCCTTTTAGAAAGAAGACTTGCTTAGTGAGTGTAAATGCAATCTTATAATGCATAGAGGTTTGAAGAAAACCCATCTGTTATGGTTTGCAACGGGATGAAATAGCCATCAGTTCAGCAGAAGGCATTTTCCCCTTTACAAAGGTGAGTATTGATTGAGGGGAGGACTGTCAATTCTTACATACACACTTCTCCACGGGGAGACATACATATACTATTTTGTGGGCAGACGAGTGTCACCTGTCTTGTCACATCTTTCAGGAAGGGGAACTGGTTCCTCCCTCCCAAGCAAGCTGCCATTCCCACCATTGCAAGCAGCAGTTTTCTGTTCATATGTTACTCCTCCTGGCCCTCCTGAATACATTGAGCTGGTAACCTCGTTATGCCTGTCACCTGGTCTTGGGTCTCCTGAGTCTGCCTTCAGCTGGAACCCTCTCTTTGGCCTTCCCTGTGTTACATCTTCATTTCTTTTGTAGTATCATTCAGGTCATCTATGCCTTGATGCAAGAAAGAAAAACTGTTCCATTTCTTCAGCAAATTTGTAATCTTTTCCTTCATGAAACCTGAAGAACAGGTCTGGAAGTTTTTCACATGCAATGACATCAGCTTCTGTATTTCAGAATATACACAGACATGAGTATTAATTTGAACTACTCCATATGAAGTGGCTACCGACTGGCCACAAGCATATTAAAGCTGGAAATCAGAAGTTTCTAGCTGTGAGAGCAATCAGGTTATGGAACAAACCTTGTGCAAGAGAGGGGAGAGGAAAAGAATGAAATAGTTTTTAGTAATCTCTTGAAGGGGATGGTCTAACACAAGCATGTAAGGGGAAGGTGCAGGATGTGATGACGTACAGGTGAACACAAATAACGTATCCAGTAATGAGGCTGGATAAGGCCCTGATGAGGCCGCCCAGGGTCTCTGATTAAGCTGTCCCTGCTGTTTTGGGGGTCACATCCCTGCAGCCAAAATGAGTGATGAAGTGATGTTAGAAACTAAAAATTACACAAGTGTCAGTCTGAAAGGAACATTCAGAAGTCACTCCATCTGTGTGCCCAGAGGCAGGATCAGACACTGACAACACACAACCAGGTGTTTGCCTTACCTGCCCTTAACACGTGCCAGAGATGCCACCACCTCTTTGGTACCTATTACACTGCTCATTGACATACAGCTGGGAAGGTTTCTCTCCTCTCATAACCTAATTGAGTTTGTTGCATCTTGACCTATTCACAGGACAGATGGGGAACAATTGATCAGCATCTTTCTTAATAACTTCAGACATTTGAGGTCTGTTATCATATTCCCTCTTCTGTTTTCTCCCTGCTAGACTCAATCTGCTTCTTTCAACAGTATGTGTTTTGCACCTCTTACACTGTTTGTTACCTTGCTCCGGTCCAAACCTAGACTAAGCCTGTCGCACTGAGCCTCTCTAACTTGAGGATATTGAGAAAGCAGAAAGTTACTTCCTTTGTCTTATAGGTAGCATGCCCTAGTAATACAGCCAAGAATTAAATTTGCCTTTTTGTGCAATACCTTCACAATGGCAATTCATATTTGGTTCATGGCCAATCATGAACTCCTCAATCCATTTCCTCAGTGCTGTGCTCTAATCAGCTGTTCCCCATTTCTTTACTGGTGCATTTAATTTTTCTTCTCCTTCTCAGAGCAGTTTTTTGAACCAGTTTTATGGAATTTTAGCTGGCCAATTATGAGCCATTTATCCAATTTGCCAAGATCAGGTTTTCCTATCCTGGCTTCAGTCTTGCAAGCTCTTCCAGTCATGTGTTTTATAAACATACTTTATTTTGTCATCTAAGTCATTGAGAAAACTAGTTGATAGATCTGGCCAGGCACCCCTGGGACTGATCTCTGTAAGTCCTCTTTGTCTGACTGCAAACCACTGATAACTAATTTCAGAGTGCAGATGCTTGACAAATATCATACACGATTGTTTCAAAAAGCCTTCCTATGCATCAAGATAGCCTGCATTGCTGCACCAGCCCTCTCCACTATTCCAGTTACTGTGGCAAAGAAAGTTAACTGGTGTGACATGATTTGTTCTTGGCTTTCTCTCTGCTGGCTTTTTCTTATCACCTGATTATCTGTAAGTGATAGCAAATTGATTATTTAATAATTTGTTCCACATACACTGAGGAGATGGAAAGGTAATGACTGAGGGCTGAGGAATCAACATTTTCAAGAAGGTTTAGGGACACTTGCTGATTTTTATCAGGGCAGTGCTGACTTGGAGGTTAATTTAATAGAACAGATATTAAGTCTTCACTAGTAATTAAGTCTTTACTAGTAAATTAAACAACGTCAGGAAATGTTCCCAGAATACTGATTCAATCATCAGAATTAAGTGTCAGCACACCCCAGCATGGTTTGGCTTTGTTCCACTAGGACTGTCCCAGACAATTTCCAGGCATGATTTGGGAGTTACCATAGCCAGAGGACCATTCTCAATAGACTTTTGCATGAGGTTGCTCTGTTTCAGAGGTGAAGAGAGTTTAATAATCTGGATGTGAGCCATTCAGTGCTAGTTTGCAGGATGTTTCTAGGAGAATGTTCCCGGGCACTCCTGATTTACTGCCTTCCTACCTCCTTTTGCCTTCTCCATCTGCAAGATTCACTGTGCTTTGTAAGCACAAATGAATCAGTCCTCTGACACGTCTGAGAGGAAGCTGAGGCCAGACATCTCACTTTATAGATGTGAAGAGTGAGGCAGTATCTGACCCAGTCTCCTCAGCAAGTAGGTAGCTGGACTAGCACTGAATCCAGGGGACTGACCTCTTAGACTTAGCTATACCATGGGGACCAGTCCCTTATCCCCCAAGCATGTCCTTCCCCAGCTTGTCAGTCAATGCCTCATGAAACATGAGATAGATGGGGCCTTCCAGGGACCTTCTGAGAGCAGGTTTCCCCACCATAGTGGGTGTCCAGCTCTAGCCTGGTGCCATGTCTCCCCTCCCATCTGTACCAAATGCATCTGGTCACTGGTGTCACAGAAGGAAGGAAGTCACTGCCCCACATCAAGGGAGAAACCTGCCTGCAGGGGAAAGCCAAGGTGAGAGCACGCAGGGTGAGTCTTCCTCTGCCCGTATACTTGCACCTGTGAAGAGGTGGAAGGAAACATCTTGCTGGTGAGGGCAGCCAAGGATGGGCCGTCCCCCAGACAGGACAACTCCCAGCACAAAGGAATAGGCAGGAAGCGTCACCAGGGGCAGAGTTTGTGTGTTGACCTCCCAGAAGAAGAGAAAACTGAAAGCAGTGAAGTCAGACAGCAAGCTGAGAGGTGCTGTGAGCTAGAACTGAGCTGTAGAGCTTTGTTTTCCCCCCACTTCCTTCCTATAGGACCAAAACATAAATTCCCTCCTTTCTCCCCAAGCCCTATAAGCAGGGATGAAATTGCGTCTTTTTTGATGATGACCAGGGAACATAAATTCCGCTTTAGCCATGTCTGCCCCTAGCAGGGACAATTGCAGAATT